CATTATCTCTCTCGTTTTTGTCACCACTGCAAATTGAATTGCATCGTTGGGGCTCATCATATTCATGCAAAGCTGTTTTTGGACCTCTTCATGCTTGATAAATAATGTGAAAGTGTTGCTAACGATCGATTCTACCTTGAGGCCAAAATCATAGCCCTGGCTATGTCACTGAGAGCTCCAAAAATTGCTGAAATCCATCATTATCTCGCTGCTTACGTCCAAACAGGATAATTAACGCAACTGTTTCCAATTCGATTTCTCGGTAGAAGGAATATCCAAATATAATTTTTTTGCTTTTTTTTTCTGAAGAAATAAACCTTTTTTAAAAAACGATAAGAGTACCCTCGACTTGATTCGTTTATCTGCCTCTCCTCTCGTGCTTCCGCGGAACTGCCATTTCTCATCAGCCGAGTGACGAAATTTTCCTATCCAGACTCTTATCGCATCTGCATTACGAGCTACTCTGTCCGCTCGAGCCTGTTGGTCTTCGGTACACGCCGGCTCTTCTAAGGTCGGACAATTTTTTTCGGAGTGGTACTAGCGTCTAATAAATCCTCCATATCGATCTCTTTCTCGGCAAGACCACTAACTGAAACTTTTGAGCCCTGTCTTCCCAAGGGACCGACGGTTCCCGGGGTGGTTCATGCCAGTATACATTTATCCCACGGTACCATGGTAGCTTGAATCGGTAGCTGGCTGCACCATGTGTAAGTATTTCTTGCATCCGTCTAGAAACACGTAAGACTTAACAAAAAAGTTGAGAAATATAACGTTTAAATTCTCAAAAGACACGCTCGCCACTCGCAATCTGCTCAACTAACGCTCTTCTTAACAATGATTTTGACTATGTTACATAAGTACCAAACTTAAAATTGTTTCTAACTTGATTAACATAACCAGTTAAACAGTCTCCGCTACACAAAGAAATATTGCAAGTGGAATTCATTTAGGTTTTTGACCTTGCTTAAAGACTGATATCGGGATTTCTGAGACCTACACACACCAAACGCGCAAATACTGCCTCATTTAGCCTCATTATATGGTAGTCCGCGCCCATTTCAACCGGGTTTTTCTAAAACGGAGTCTTTTTATTTGTTAAGGGGAGGGAGGTTTTCGAGTCTTCATTTTTAATCCGTTTAAAATATTCAAGTTATTATAAAATCATGAACTGATACTGTTATACGTGACACTGACAGACTAGTAGTCGCCAAATAGCTTCAAGCTCAAGCTGAAAAAATTCTGATCGAACGTTTTGGCAGTTCAGCCGAAATGATCGGAAAAAATGGGTTGTTTGGTAAGAACTTCAACTTAATTTCAACTCAACTGGTATTTTTTGAAGATAATAAATCAGAAAGCAACCCTTGTTTTTTGAAGCTTAGAAATTTAATCTTGTTTGATTTTTTCAAAATCGAAGTGTTGGTTTTGAACAAACTTACCGACTGTTTTCACATATCTTTTCCAGGTTAAAACCTTATTGAAACCTTAAATTTTTCTCCATTAAATTTTAAAACGATTCTTTTGCTGCGGTTACATTTGGAAAAAATAGAATCAATTGGTTAATTGACCTGATTAGTGACCAAAGATTGGCAAAATTTTCTGAATTCTTTATGTTAACGATAGATTCGATCTTCTTTTCCACGGGGTAAAGCCACTCTGTTTTTTGACGAAGAATGTGCGTCTACTCTAATTGACAGCAATATTTTTTGTTTGGTACAATTAGAATGGTTCTGAAATCCCACCAAGGGCGTTTTTCAGACCCTCTGGTTGCAATTAAGATATCATCCAGATAAACGTGCACTCCAGGCAAATGTCCCAACATTGAATCCAATACCCGTTGAAAATCGTTCAGTGTATCACCCAAACTGTAGAACACAGTTTTCAAGCGGTATGTACACGTTATAATCCCTCCAACAAAGCTAAAACTGCATTGGCGACAAGTTTCTTTACTCAATTTAATATGAAAACATGCGTATTATTGACCAAATTGTTTGTGATTGGCGTTTGATAACGATTTTGTTATGTCTGTTTACTGATCAATTCCGAGTTTAAGGCCAATTTCACTGGTCCGTTGTTTTAAGCCGTGACAACCCTAGGCAAAGTGAAACCATCCTGAGTGAATTTTCCCAACTTGTTAATGTGTCACATTTTGAACAAATTTTCGTTTTTCTCTTCAACCATAGGTACGACAGGTATAGGAACCCGCTTGCCCTCAACTTAAATTGGACATAAGGTTTGCTTAAAGTGAGTTCAAACTTCAGAAATTTTGTCAAACAACTGTTCAGATTCACCCTAATTACAATTGATGAACTAACGTTGAATTGGTGAGTTCTCTGTTTGCTTTTGCTCTTGTTGCTTCCCGACAACATCTTCGCCCTTCGGGATACTCGCTTCTGACGCACTTCAATCCCTAATGAGGGCAAAAGTTGTTTCCAATTATGTTCCTCTGGCCTTCCTTGGTAATGAACAATTCCGCACCCTCGGAGATCCAGCCCTCGGATTCAAATCTGAAAATAATTCCTCCTATGATTTTGATGACGTCGTCTGTTGTGCTATAGAACACTCACGATTTTCATTCGGGACTGATTTGTTTAGTAGGTAGCACTCTTGAATTTTGAGTTCGTGAAGCTTATTCTAAGAGGTGAAAGATACAGGGCTAGCAAAAACAATCTGGAGTTCAGTTTCACACCAATTTCTGACCATACGCACACTTAAAAAATTCCGATTTCCTTTTCCTGCCTGATCCCACACTGTCTTTATGGCAAACACTCCAAATACTTCCTCGTCTTTTTGCCTTTCTAACCTGTGCATCAAGTTTTTTTCGAATTGATTGAAGTCATACGAATCATCAGTTTGGCTCACAGTAGCCTTCTTGCAATACTTAGCAAAATGACCCCTTCAACTGCAATTGTCACAAATGATGTACTTCGCTGAAAAATTCTCTCGATGTTTCGGCTTCAATCAATTACTACAATTATGAGATTTGTCTGATCTCTGCCGTATAATGTCATTCACTGGTTCTCTTTTGATGTAACCTTGCCAATTGTATTGATTTGCGTTCTGTCGCTCCTGGTGAAGTTTGCTCTGTCCGAACATTGAGACGCCACCACTCATCCGTTTGAACATTATCTTTCTCTTTTCCCTCACCAGCGCAAACTGAAGGGCATCGTAGGCGCTCATCGTGTCCATGCAAAGCTCTATTCCCACCTCTTCATGCTTCATAATAAAAACGAAAATATCTCTCACGATCGACTGCACCTGGAGGCCAAAATCTTAGCCTTCGGCTATTTCACTGAGAGCTCCAAAAAACTGCTCAATTTCTTCATTATCTCGCTGTTAACGTCCAAACAGGATGAAACTACAGCTTGTATCATTCGTTTGCCGAAAGAACGGATCTGTTGCCAATTTCCTTAACTCAGCAAAAATAATATCCACAATTTTTTCTTGGATTTTGCTGAAAGAAGTATCCTTGCCCTTGTTTCATCAACGATAAGAATATCTTCGACATAAGCCGTTTATCTGGCTCTCCTCTCGTGTTTCCGCAGAACAGCCGTTTCTCTTCATCCGAGCAACGAGTTTCTTCCTCTCAGGACTCTTATTGCATCTGCATTACGAACTTATCTGTCGACCCGCGCTTGTGCGTCTTCGGTACCCGCCTGCTCTTCTTATGTCGGATAAACCTTTTTCGGTGCAGTACTAACGTCTTTTAAACCCTCCATAGCAATCTCTTCCTTGGCAAGGACCACTAACTGGAACTTTTGAGCGGAGTCTTCCCAAGGGACCGGCGCTCTTTGAGGTGGTTCAAGCCAGAATACACCCAGCACTCGGTAGCTGGCTGCGCGCCATGTGGAAGTAATTCTAACCTCCGTATAGAAATAAGGAAGAATTAACAAAACAGTTGAGAAATATAACGTTTGAATTCTCAAAGGACACGTTCGCAACAGGCGATCCGCAAAACCAGCGCTCTCTATAACGTTGACTTTGACTATGTTACACAAGTTACATTATAAAAGTGTTTTTAACAAAATTTACATAACTAGTTAAACAGTCTCCACTAAACAGGGAATTATTGTAACTGGAATTCACTTAGAGTTCTGACCATGCTTAAAGACCTATCTCGGGATTCCCGTAACCTTCACACACCAAACGTTGCCTCCTTATTTGACGCCTCATCTGGCCTCCTTATTTCGTGCCCCGCGCCCAAAGCCACCGGGCCTTTCTATATTAACTTGAATATTTTCAGTGGACTAAAATTAAAAACTCGAAGTTGTCTTTCCTCAAACAAATGAAATGAATCCATTTAAGTTATTTTATGATCATGAACTGATACTGTTATGCGTGATTCTGATGGGCTTTTAGTAGTCAAATAGCTTCAAGCTCGAGCTGAAAATAGCTTCAAGCTGGAGCTGAAAAGATTCTGACCGAATTTTTTGGCAGTTCAGCCAAATTGAGCGAAAAACGGATTGGTTGGTAGAACTTTCAAATTTATTTCAACTCAACTGGTATGTTTTGACCGGACCATAATAAATCAGAAATGAGCTCCAGGAGGAAAAAATTAACCTCAATTTTGCTCCAATACACGAAATTTCCGTCGCCTTGGAAGTTAGCTAATAAAAAATTGACGAATTAGTTATTGCCAACCATGCACGACCAGTGTTTTGTTATCTGCTTAGTAGTAGGGTTCGCATATTTACAAAATTTGTGTAGAGTAATTAAATAGAACCAATAGTTCGTATGGTTGAAGTGGAGAGGGCACTGTTCGTTTAAATCTGTGGTGTGGCAAGAATTTTTCGAGAAGGTGACGTTTTTTTTTTTTAAATAGGAAATTTTATCAAGCTTTTCTTAGTTTGACCAAATTGATTTCCCATGCTACCTTAAAAACTTATAGCCCTAAGTTGTCACTCATGTTTCATTACATGCGGGACAAAATATGCTCAAGAAGTAAAGTAAGACCTGTCAAAGTTTTGATTTCTGAGTTCTCCCCTCGCCATTTCTTTGCTTACCTGTTCGATTTGTGTCAAATCGCGATGTCAAATCGTTTCTCGCATCCGGTTTTTTCGACGACTCCAACAGCTGAAGGGAGGTCAGCATACCAATCAATAAACTAATTATCCGAAACGAGCAAATATTCATTTTGCAAAAAACGCTGCAAAACACTGTCGCGAATAAAGTCAAAGGAGTATGAATGGAATATAAGTTGTTTTATTTCAATTTTAATTGAGGAAATGACGTTTTACAATTGTAAACTGTGATTTCTAACAATATTAAATTAATAGCGATTTTTTATACTTCGAAAACCAGTGTAAATTTGCGTTCATTTACAAATAACAAAATGTGAATCAAATGACAACGGTAAAAACAGATATTAAGAATAAGAATTGAGAAAAAAGTAGTAATCATGGGTGTCGATATTGGACCGGACATATAATCAATTTGGGGTCTCAAGATGGGAGGCTAAAATTGGCAACTTCGAACAGGAATGATTGGAAAACAAGGGAGAGTTTATCCAGTGCGACATCCCCCAAAAGTAACTTGTGAACATTTACTTCAGCCACCCGCGCTCCCGTATGCAATCTTTTTTATTCCTAATGATTACTAATGGTCAGTAAGCCGAATGGCATATGTAGAGTACAAAGATGAATATTAACAAGGATAAACGACTGTTTTTTATTTTTGTGTTTTTTTGTGAAGGAATGAAACAAAAATGAATCATAGAAAAAAAAATTTTTTCTAGTGCAGAAATTTTCATTTACAGAATCAATTTTTTTTTGAATTTTACAAATTTTTTCGGTACCTAGGAAGGTCTTAATGAAGCTTTCGAAAACGAACTTTCCCAGATTAAATATTATCTTTTCACGGCTCAAACAAAAGCTATTATAGCACCTACTCGCTTGAAATTAGACTAAAAAGCTTAATTTCAAACCGGTCAATACTGAAAAAAAATTTTGGAATTTTTTTTATCCTTCGAACTAAGTAGCTTGAATATGATAGATATATCACTCGGCCAATTCTGATGACTGTTATATGGCACCTGATTTTGCGTTGAAAAAAAGGAAAAAACCCGAAGACAAAGTTCTTGTCAATTTTAAGTGGTCAAAATAAAAAGAGCCTGAAATATGCTTATGATTACAAAATTATACAAAAAAGAAATTTTTAAGAGAGGGGGATTTCAGCGTACTCCGATTTCCTAATATAGCCATCTATTTTTAAAAAAAAACGTCAAAGCCGGATCTGCGCCATGAGAACTCAAAAAGTTACCTCACCAATCAAAACTATTCTTTTTAAATCTTTTTTGAAAAAAAGTCGGATTTCAACAGTTTAAAAATAAACGAAAGGTTCGGAAGACAGTTTGATTAGCGTCAAGTGTATCATTTCTACTCTCATTTCTTTAAAAAAGTCCAAAAATAAAATTTAATCATCATGACAGAATACGTTTTTCGCTATGTTTAGAAATATATCCATGAAGTTTCCATTAGAGGTCTAAATTAACGGGGATTACAAAACATTATTTCATAAAAAAACGACCTCAGCACAGAAAAAAAAAATTAGATTTGTTCAACGTTTCAACTGAAGCTTAGGAAGTTCAGTTTGCCCGATTGTTCGATGAGTGCGGCTGTTCTTTTTGTGCCCCCTGCAAAAATTCAAGAAATGCACCAGCAAATTTTATCGTGTGTGACGCAAATTTTATCGGTAGATTATTTTTCGATTTATTGTAGCACCTTCCCTATCCCTAACACGTTGAGAGCGACTATTATCGCCCTGTCTTTGTTGCCAAAATTTGCAAATTGAGCCGACCAGGAGGTTTGTACAACAGAGAAGGAGAAATTAATCAATACTGAAAAGTTTTTTCTTTTGAGAAGAGTCACGTGGAGGAAAAATTGGCCCGTCTTTTTATTCCTAGTTTCTTTCTCAAATTGTGCATTCCTCGCAGACCTTTTAAAAATAATCAAGTTATCATCCAGTCATTTTCAGGTTTCAATAGAAAATCTACTCTGCTAAATTTTGTGACCGGTCTCAAATACTAAGCAGTGACTCTTTTGGGATATGGGGACTGGCTAGTGTTTTGTTCCAATACCGTATCTGACAGGAACTTGATTTTTCTCTTAAGAAACTGGAATTAATCGACTTAGAACTTGAGAATGGGACAACCCAATGACAATTTAGAGTTGCATCAAGTCTCATCCAAAATGTAACTGCTTTTTGTAATTGCAAATTGAAAGTCAAAAATGAAACTTAGTTCAGAAAGTAGCACAATCACTACAATTATTCAATATCTGACTGAATAATTTGAAAACATTGACAAAAACTCTGAGCGAATCAATAAGAAACTGAAAATGAGATATAAATTAGTTGCATGCTGTTTTGTCGAATTATTTGGGGGCAAGCGCAGTTGCGTCTATCTTAACCACCGAAAGAATCCCTCTGTTATAAATTGTGTTTTAATTACATTAATTTGACCTTCACTTCTTTAATAGATACATGCCATTTGTGTGTCTGTTTGAAGGCCATTGGACTTCGTGACATAATTCTAGTTGAATAGAAAAGATAGTTTTAATTTAACTGCCTATCTTTTCTTCTCTTATTTCTAGTTACTTTTTTTGCACCCCAGTGTCCATCACTGTTCACTGTGGCGCAGTCAAATGATTTTGAATCTAGACATTGACAGTCTGAAGAAAAACCTCAGCATCGGCTCTTTTAAAGAAAGTTGAGATAGGCCAAAAATGGAGAAATAATGCAAATACACAAATTCGCAGAAGAAAAGGGAACTGCGGAAGAGAAAAGAAAACTAAAAAAGAAGACAAAAACTAGCAGAGAAGACAAAAAAGTGAGCTCGATAGTAAACTTTGACCTGCGCGCAGATATCAAACGAGTTTTTTTTGCAAAAAAACAACATGGGTTGAAAGTATTATGTGACTTGACTTTTAAAACACTTCCGAACTCTTAAAAACCGCATTTGTTAAAAATTCATTCATGAATTTCTAGCAATACAAACAGGGGCGGATCTAGGATTTTTTCGAGGGGGGGGGGGGCGGATTTTCAAAAACAATTTTGAAAATTTTGTCGAACTTTTTTTTAGGTCGATCGAATTGATTTTTGAGCTCTCCCTAAGCATGGTTTAGTCCCTTTTTTAGCAACATTTTCTGCGCCGCAGGGAAAAGTTTGAAAAAACAGTCCAAAAAAGGCGTTTTTAGGCACTTTTTGGAAAATTTTGACAAAAAATTGCGTTTTTTCGGCGCGCGCTCCCCCCTCAAAAATAGAATATATTGGCACCGAAGGCGCCTTTAGAAAAATTTTAGGGTCGGTTGGCCAAAAATGGATTTCTTAAAAAGTACCAAAGGGGGGACCCTTTGGGTCGGCAGGGGGTCGAATTCCTGAGGGGGTAAAGGGAAGAGGCGTCCGCTCCCCCCCCCGCCCGTTCCCCTAAATCCGCCCCTGAATACAAATAAGTAAACCGCAAACAAAACAATTGAGAAGCCTATGAACAGTTCTGGGAGAGTTTCGGAGTCGCCAAGATCATGGGATAGAGGAAAATCATCTGAAAAGATTGGATACGTGATGACTTCACTTTATTGTGAAAAATTGTGATCTCCGATGGGGACTCGTGTCAGAAACGCTTAACCCAACGGACGCCCTAAATCAAGCAATTATTGACAAAAGGAGATATTTTAACCATTATAACTTCACCAATAAATCAAAATCAATTATAATGGTAAAGTGCAGGAAATTGTTAAGTTTATAAAAAATAAAGCAGCCTGAACAAAAAAGCAAAAACCTGTATGAAGTAGAGTAACGCTTTTGCGAAGATCACGTGAAAGTATATACGGCAAAAAAAACATGTGTAAAGTACAGTATTTAAAATGACAAAGGAAACTGGGGAAGTTTGTGAAGTCTTATTCAAGAAAACCGGCTAATGCAGAAGAAAAAATAGATAATGAAAGATGAGCTTTTTTACCATCGGAACTACTGACGGTTGAAGAAAAAAACTTTTTCGGTGTGATAAACGTCTAGTCAGAGGAGGAAGTTTGCGACGATGACAATGAACAGAAACTCAGGAACCCGCAATTGAATACACTTGCAATAGACAGGAAGACTCGTGCTCTTTTTTGGCTTTAACACAGACACAATTAGCATCATTGGGTAAATCGTGGAAAGAGTTCAGACCAAAATTTTGTTAGTCAAATGCACATACAAAAGACAGTTTAAGGTGGCACAAAAATTTTTTAAAACTTTTTCACAAAATCAAGAAAAATCCGTCCGATAGAAAAATCGTACATTAGAGGGTATAAAATTTCCCTTATTTTTTTGAGAAGGTGTAAAAATTTAATCGAAAAGAATGGTAAAGGTGAAACATAAAATCTTATCAGACAATTTTGACCAATATTGCTTCATAAACCCGATAGTAACTACGAGAAAAAACACAGTTCCATAAAGGTAGCCTTAGATTCAAAACTGTTAAGCGATCAGATAATTAGAAACAAATATTAAATGCACAAAATCCACGAACGAGTCGCTAACATACATTGCTCTTCAATTGTCAAACCAAAAATCTGGGGACGTATAGTTCAGAAGTCTCGATTTACAAAACGCGTACAGTCAACCATATTTTTGTGACAATACAAGCAAACATTGTAACTTAAGAAGAAAAGAAAGTAGGTATTTTGGCGAAAAAGAAGCGGGGTTCTGTTTAATTTAAGACTTATAACCAAAATTTGTTGTCCTTGATCTTAGAAGCTGAGGTTTTTAAGCAGCCGGAATAACACTCACGTGAAAATTTTTTCAAACGGTTTTTTAATCAACCGCAAAATAAAAGATTTTTGAATTGTTTTGAGCTAAAAACTGTTCTTGGGGGTAAATTGTAAAACGGGGGGTGGGGGTGGCAGTGGGAAATTCCTTGAAAGTGCTCGTCTTGTTCTCAGACAAATGAATGATTTATTTGAAATTGAAAAATTTAACAGTAAATTTTCCGTTACAAGATGATCAAATTGAGCTTTGGTTTGGTGTTTTGTTTGCTCGTGACAAACGTCAAAAATGGAGACATTTCATAAACTTGAAAGTAGAATCACATTTATAAGTAGTACATGTTGATGACGTGTTTAGCTTATACTTTTATGAAGCATTTATTGTTTCCGTACCGACAGGTGATTACATTTGTCACCTCACATCGCTTAAAACAAACAAAATTTGGATAGATAATGCAAGAAAAATAAACATAACCATGACCGATAAAGCGAGTAATGTAGGACGCTCTTTTCTCAGGGATTCAACCCCCTCACAAACCATAGTGTTCCGCAGGCGCGGATCTAGGAATTTCTCGAGGGGGGTGCTAGTTTTCAGAATTTTTTCTACTTTTTTTAATTCGTTCAAACTGATTTTCTGAGCTCTCGCCAATCACTATAAAGACTCTAAATTGGCCAAATTTTCTGCGCCACAGGCAACTTCTTCAAAAAACAGGCCAAAAAAGGCGTTTTTATAGACTTTGAAAAATTTCGACCAAAAAATTGCGTTTTTTCGGCGCGCGCTCCCCCCCCCCCCCCCCCCCTCAAAATTAGTGTTTATTGGCGCCAAAGGCGCTTTTAGAAAATTTTTAAGGTCAGTCGGCCAAAAATGGATATCTCAAAATAGTACAAAGGGGGACCATTTGGGTCGGCAGGGGGTCGAACCCTGAACGTTTTGGTCGAAATAGGGTCTTTAGAGTCTTCTGGGAGTGCTCCGAACTCAATTTGGTCGACCTAAAAAAAGTTGACAAAATTTTTGACAACTTTTTGAAAATCGCGCCCCTCCTCGAGAAAATCTTAGATCAGCCCCTGAAAATTGGAGTACTTTTATTGTTTGGAGAAAAAAATTATGCTGAGATCGAATTTTTTTAAAAGAATTGATTTCCGAATATATTTATTGAACTCATCAAACGGAACTACAAAGCTTTTCAAAAAATCCCCTTGAAAAAATTGAAAACAAAGTTAGGCTAGTGCCATTGGTCGTTTCTTGCCTTATCTGTGTTCATGCTCTGCTGACGAAACTTGAAAAGAATCAGGTGAAATCAACAAGCCTTGATAGTATCGCTGGTAATTTAACTCAATGCTAAAATATTCCAAGTTACCCGGGCCAAAAAAAAACAATTTATCGGTTGACTTGTTTTGCAATAAAAATCTTCTGAGTCTAATGATTACGCATTGCTGCTTACTTTAGTAGGTGCTTGATATTATTTACAGAGATGGGAAGATGTACAAAGTGTGTCGAGAACAAACCAAGATAAAAAAGATTTTGAGTAGGAGAATAGAATCCAATTGAATGAGAATAGTTCAGATTTCACATTCAACCAATAAGTTTTTCATGTTAAAATCAACAGAAAATAGCACCTGAAGGAAACTATTAGCTCACACTCAGTTTGTTGAGCTCAATCAGTTATTGTAGTTTTCAAACAATATGAGGTCAAATTTTTGGGTCAAAAATAGTCTAATACTTTTTTTTGGGTCGACTAAGAGTCATGAAAGTCTTTCTGAGCTGAGCACTGTCAAAACATATCTGAATCCAGGGAAAAAATTGAATAGTTTCTAACCTTGTCGCAACTGTGAGAACATATGTGAATACTTCAAGTCAGAGGTCAATTGTTTCTTCAATTACTTTGTTTTTTATTGAAAGTTCAATGAAAGACACTAACAAGACTCCAATTAAAAGATCCAATTAACGTTTATTGTACCCATGAAAAAATCCTTGATTGAAAGATGATAAACAATTTGGAATCAAATTGAAAAGTTTTTTTTCTTCTGTTCATTGGATCCCCCCAAACTGCTATACTTACCGCCCGGTAACGAATTTCTGAAACCAAATTGCCTGCCCCTATTCATATTGAAAAGATTAAATTTGCCGCTTTTGCATTGAGAGGACAAAATGAACGGCTCGCAAGTTATCCCAAAATCTACCAAATGCCCTTGAACATGGATGAAAAAAGTATTTTGTAATTTTGTGCTTGGAAAGGTTTTTCTTAAATCTCAGAACTATTTAGACCTTTATTTAATGAATTTTATTGAAGTAAAATTCAAATCATCTGAACCATATTGACGTCTTCATCTAAAACTGAAAAAATAATTAATCTACGCTAATTGCACCTATTTAAAATTGAACGGACGCAAGATAGATTGTAAAACAGCTATAACTTGCCAATCGTACTCCATAACTAACAGTTAATTTCGCTACTGTAAAATCTGACTAGTGTCCGACGTCAGACAAAATTTTTGCTTTCATTAATATTTATAAGGATCTTGAGAGTCTCAAAACAAAGTATCAAAACAGAACAACAATAGCCGGTTGCTTGATATTTTGATTTTGATAGAACGCAACAAGTTGATATTTTGATAGAACGCAACAAGTTGATATTTTGAAAAACGGATTGTTTTTTGAAAAACGTAGCATCTCGGAAACCAGAACATTTCAGGATCTCAGGATGTGGATGAAAACCGCACTCTGATTTTTTGTTTGGTAGCAATTAAAAAACCTCCTTCTTTTTAATAAGTAGAAATTTTCTTAATTAAAAAATACCTGTAAAAGAACAAACATACATACAAAAAAAGCAATCATTTTTGATCAATTTAATAAAAAGTAATGGTAAACTCAAAAAAAAAACAAGTAAACGCAATATGGCAAAATTATCAAAAAAGAAATGTATCTCCTATTTGATGCGCAAAGCATCCCTACTCATTTTTATAAATTTTCGGCTAATTACGATTTTCGTTCAATCGATTCATCAACATGTATCCTCTACTGGTAGTTAATCTGCTTTAAGATTACTTCTAAAAAATAACTGAAATTGACCCATGCTGAACATTTCCTCAGTTTTTTGTTTTTTCAAAGAAAAACAAAATTGTTTGAGAAATTAGTATAAATTATATATTTTAAGGATCTTAAGCAGAACTAAACAAAATCATTTAAAAAATCTTAAGCATTTTTGTTTGTTGAGAAAAAATGTATAAAGATTTTGAGTTATCGTAGGCAGTAAACAACTCGGATTATTTTTTCTACTCAAAAATTTGGAATAAATTGGTGTTGCAGTGCAACCATAAGCAAGCAAACGAAATTCAATGAAAGATTGAGCGTTAGTAAAATAGTGTTAAGAGAAAACTAGCGAAACAATAATCAAGGAAACATTTTTTCTTTTAACTATTAAAATCATATGATTCATGAAAGACAGCCGAGAATCCA